GTGCATAGCATCACGGAATACTCTGAACACTCTGCGCCAAAAAGAAAGAACCCATGATGCTATTAGGAAATTTACTTCTTCCTGAAGGCATTTAAATGAGAAGGAAGTCTCATTTATGTTAAGGTTAGTTTCCTCTTTTTCCTTCCTCTTTCAAGCTTCCTTTCTACCCTCTTCCACAGGAAAAAAATTAACGATTCTTAATCAAGGCCCCCAAACTATGCAAATTTCTAAGTACAATACTGAATCATATCTATTAAACATCTTGGTTTCAAAGTGCACTGAAGCACAAGATCAAGGACAAATCACACCACTGAGTGGGAAAGTACCACCAAAAATCAGCAACCAAAAAGATGACAAAAATTACACTTCAGTTTTACAGAAGCCTCTACTGTAATCTACTGCTTGATGTTCCTTAGCTGGTCTTAAGGTCCTGGTGAATCTTGTAACTTCCATAATTTTACTCTAAGTGACCTGGCTGTCATCCTGGAAAGGCAGACCTAGATGTGACTGTTATCAATTAAATTGACCATATCTAAAAGAAAGGCTGTGGGAACAGAAAGGAAGTGCTCAATATGAAAGGTAAGTGGCTCAAGGGCTAAAGCTGCAATTCACCCAGCACTCTCCAGGGAAGGGAGACATACAATCTGAAATAAGTACAGTATCTGACCAAGTGTGGGGTGGGGATGACTGCCAAGGCTTCACCCTGCCTGAATGAAATATTCACCCCAGCCATCCAACTATTCTGGCTCTGATTCCAAGTTCACCTAGTAGCTTTCTGATTAGCTTCTCAAATATTCTGATTCCAGAAGTCAGATGCCAGATAGAGAACATAAGCACTCAGGTCCCTGGAAAAGAATACCCCCACAGTAAATGAAAAGAGGGGCATTTCTTGCTCATACAAAAGATAATACAGCGTAGTGGTTAAGCGCCTAATATTTGGAGACATAATGGTTCCAAATCCTGGCTACTGCTTAATTCTTTGTGCTTCAGTTTTCTCATTAAATGGGAATAATACTAATGCTTATTTCAAGTGTTGTTAAAAAGGAGCCCTGGTGGGGCAGGAGTTAAGTGCTCAGCTCCTAACTGAAAGATCAGCAGTTCGAACCCACCAGCCACTTCGAGGGTAAAAGATGAAACAGTCAGCTTCCGTAAAGATTATAGCCTTGGAAGCTCTATAGGGCAGTTCTACTCTGTCCTATAATAGCTTGCTATGAGTTGGAATCGACTCCACGGCAATGGGTCAAGTGTTGTTATATGGACTGAGTTATTTCATGAAAATAGAACAACAGTACCTGGCACATTGTGCTCAACAAAGCTATTACAATTTTTCATAATAATTATTAAACTACTCTCATGAATTTAAGGAGCTCTGGTTGCACAGTGGTTAAAGCGCTCAGCTGCTAACGGCAAGGTTGGCGGTTAAAACCCACCAGCTGCTCCGTGGGAGACGGATGTGACAGCTTCCGTAAAGATTACAGCCTTGGAAACCCTATGGGGCAGTTCTAGCCTGTCCTACAGGGTAGTTATGAGTCAGAATTGACTAGGTGGCAAAGGCTTTCTTCTTCCCCCTCATGAATTTGATTTGTGTCAATTAAATTCCAAGTCTGATCAACTCTTTTTAAAAAGTACGATTTTAGACTATCAAAGAGATGCCACAATATAAGGCCTCAGTGGTCATGCAGGAACATACAGTGTGTGCGTGTGGGGGGTGGGGTGTACTGGGGGGGGAGAGTGGGTTTAAAAGGCTAACAGGAGACAGGTTGTGAAGGGCTTTGTATACTATGCCAGGAAGTTTGAATTTCATTTTGTAAGTATGACAGGGCCATCTAAAGGTAATGTCAATCATCAAAATAAATATGAAACAAACTTTAAATCTAAGTTACAGAACTCACAAAAATTAACAAGAAGATGAGGGAATTCCAGAAAAATATAGTATCAGTGATTTAAATATTTTAGAAGCAATACACCTAAATTGAAACCAAGACAAAAATGCCAGGGCATTTAAATAAGTGCAAATAGAGTTCTTTCCTCCTCACCACCCCACCCTCAAAATTATAAAAGGAATAAGCACATGCTGTTTCCTGGTTCCATAATCCGCTTCCTCCAATTGTTGGAGGCTCTGGATCCATCTGCTTCAAGGCTTCTCCCCCAAAATAAAGAGAAGACCAGTCCCTATCATCTGCTATTGTCAATTCACAGATCCGGAAACAAAAGATGGTACTGGAATAAAATGTCCAACACCCATAGATACAAACACCATAAATTATAAATGCTAACACATACACAATGCAGAGTACAAACACAGCTAAAAAACAGGTTTCCAGAATGTCTGAGTCACAGGAACCAAACGAGGAAAAGAAAAGTCTTAATTCAAAAAAAAAAAAAAAAATGAAAGGCAGCTGATTTCACAAAAATGTCAAAGAGCAAACATCCTCTTTTTCCCTTTAGCTATTCTAAACTACTATCATCTGGTAAAAACAGATAAGTACGTTTGCTAGACTTGTGTTAAAAAAAATGTCATCACAGGGCCCACATAATTCTGAAGCCCAACAGTCTTAGAGTTCGGGTAGTCCCATCTCAGTTTGTTTTAAAAATGAGTAGATTAACCACTTCAACCCCACTAGGATGGTTATCCACCACCCGGCGTTCAGGTTTTCCCACTGTGGCGGTTTGTGTGTTGCTATGATGCTGGAGCTATGCCACCGGTATTTCAAATACCAGCAGGGTAACCAACAATGGAAAGGTTTCAGCGGAGCTTCCAGACTAAAACACACTAGGAAGAAGGGCCTGCCAGTCTGCTTCCAAAAATTAGTCAATGAAAACCTAATGGATCACAGCAGAATACTGTCCAATATAATGCTGGAAAATAAGACCCATAGGTCGGAAGGCACTACACAATAACCACCAACAATGGGCTCAAACATACCCATCATGAAGATGGCACAGGACTGGGCAAGTTTCATTCTATTATACATAAGGTCACCATGACTCAGAGCCAACTCCAGGAACTAACAACAAAAGGATGGCTATCATCAGAAAAACGAAAGGTAACCACTGTTGGCAAGGATGTGGAGAAACTGGAGGAATCCTCATCCATCGCTAGGGGTATGGAAGATGGTGTAGCTGCTGTGGAAAACAGTTTGGCAGTTCCTCAAAAAGGTAAACAAAGAATTACCATATGGCCCAGCCATTCTACTCCTAAGTATATACCTAAGAGACTTGAGAGCAGGTACTCAAACAGATATTTGCACACCAATGTTCGTAGCAGCATTATTCACAATAGCCAAAAGGTGGAAACAAACCAAGTATCCATCAACAGAGGAACGACTAAACAAAGTATGGTGTATCCATACAATGGAATATTATTCAGCCATAAAGAGAAATGAAGTTCTGATATACGATCTGACATGGATAAACCTTGAACACATGATAATAAGTGAAACAGGTCAGATACAAAGGAACAAATATTGTATGATCCCACTTCTATGAAATATCTAGAATAGGCAAATACATAGAGACCAAAGTTTATTCATAGTTACCAGAGGGGGGTGGGAGGCAGAAATGGAAAGTTATTGGTTAAGGAGTACTGAGTTTCTGTTAAGGATGATGAAAAAAACTTGGAAATGGATAGTAGTGATGGTTGTACAACATGGTGAGTATACACACACACCCACACACACACCCACACACCCACACACACACACCTTACCACAATAATTTTTTTTTAAAAAAAAGGGTAGACTAAGCCTCAAACAGCATACCCAGAAGCAATGTTTTCCAAAGTGCAGAGCAAAAACATGAGATGATTTTAGGGTTAAGTAAGTAAACTTTAATAGCTGTGTATTTATTATTTATTAAAGTGTACTAGAAAATGGTATAAAAGGCATCAAAACGATGGTTTCAAGATTATCACTTTGGAATAGGATAATGTTTAAAAAACAGCCTATTAAAATATGAAGTAAAATAATCCCACATATGATACTCTAAAGGCAAAAGTTATGATGGTGGTATGGTTCATGATATGTGAAGACTGACAACGTCCATGACACAGGGCCTGTTTTGTTCATTTGTTTTTTTCTTGGTTCTAGGGATAGCTAGTGCTTTTGTCTCCACCCTCAGGGTGATTGTTTTTTACTGCCTAGGTTACATACTATACCATATTTATAGGTTAGGACTTAAATGGAAATAGAATTCCCTACAATTTGTATGTCAGTTTTAAGAGCCAGCATAGCAGTAAACTATACCATGCAAGTCTCCAGAGTTTACTATTTTTTTTAGTTCAATTTATTCTGTACGAAAATCTTTTCCATGCGTCACCCACCCCAGGAAGGTGGAGGTGGGGAGAGGCTCTATGTAAGGATGCTTCTTAGGCTACACTTTTTCTGTCACTAATTCATTTAAATTAAATGCACTTTTTTTTAATCTCTGCCTTGCCATCATCCTGGATGACTTCCACATCCATGTGAATGACCATCCCAGTAGTTAAATCTCTAAATTCCTTAAACTCATTATGACCTTCTACTCTACTCCATCTCAACTACCCTAGACCTTGTTATTACCTGCATATCTTTTTCTTCATGCGTCCGCAGTAAATCTGCAAGGTAAGAATGGACTTTCCTCGAGAGCATGGACTGATACCACAACGCCATTAACCTCAGAGTCCTTCAAACTAATTCAGAACTATCCGATGACTGTGGTCACCATATAGTCTATTATTCCCGACCACAGCAACAATGGGGGGAGTTTATCTCTGCTTGGTTTCAAGGGTCTATGAAACCACCATCCCGTCACCCTTCTTCCGCCGGCCGCTCGATGGTCTCCCGGCGCCTCGCGTCCCCGCTCCGGCCCAGGCCTGCCGAGTCAGGGCCAGAGCACCCACTCCCCGCTGGAACCCTACCCACTAATTTTTCAAATGTCACGATATACTCTTCTTACTCCTCGGAGTAGGATCACAACCTTCACCCGGGCCCGCTCCCTCAGCCCTACTCCTGGAGACTCACCAAGCAGTTGCGGCCACTCCTGTCTCGGACTCCAGCTCGGGCACCCCTAGAACGGACCTAGAGCTGCGCCCGTCTCGCGCCTGCGCGAGCCGGAGCCGCGCGCCTGCGCACTTCCACGGTGCCACGGGCACCGACACACCCCTGCAGCTGGAGCCAATCACGGTACCAGGGTTTTAAATCCCCTTGCCACGTAGGCGGAGAGCCTGGGAACGCAGCCGTTAACCAGATAGATTGAAGTCCTGCCTGGAAAGTGGGACTTATTAATACAACATTTACCTAGGGCAAACCGTGTGCCAGGCGCTCTGCTGGATGAACGCTGAGAAAAGAAGCGAATATTCCCTGCCCTCCGGGGTCTTTTGATCTACTGAGACTGACATATCGTAGTTGCCGAAGAGTCGGTTCTGAGATACGGTTTAAACAAATTATCATGTATAGAATACAGTGCATGGCACATAGAAAACCTGAGGCAATGTTGGCGCACAATAAACAAAGCCCTTTATTCTTAGAGGTGTCTGGAAGGGTTCCCGGAGGAAGTGACTTTTGACTCCTGAAGGATAAGTAGGAGTTCCCTCGGGTATACTGGAAGGAGAGAGAGTTATCCAGGCTGTGGGAACGGCATATGCCAAGAAATACATAGCGCCTTCTGGAAATTCTTTGTAGTTCATCTTGGTTAGAGGCTTAGAGCTCATCGTATATCCCCGAGTGGAGGGGAAAACAATCTTTAAAAGATCAACAATGGCCAGATCTTCGAGGGTCTTGTATTTTGGGACTAGGGAGTCTACACTTCAATTCGACGGCCACAGAGAGCTGTAGAAGGGTTTTAAGCAAGTGGATGCTAGGTTTAGACGTTTCCTTCAAGAAGGCTTCCAGACACCTCTAAAAATAATGCGGTCACGCTAATGAAGAAAAGAGTGTTTAAAAGAAGATGGAGTGGGCTATTCCTAAGGGTAAAGCTTGAAAAATGTCTTTTGAATTTAGTAACATAGAGGCCATTGGTGAACTTAGTGATAGCTGTTCGGTGGAATGATGAGACTGAAAAATAGATTGCAGTAGGAAACTTTGGCCTTCATGGGGAGGAAGGAGAGAGTGAGAGAGAAAGAAAGACGATAGTCAAAGGATGAGGGGTTAAGGTGGTTTTGTTTTTTTGTTAGAGCTAAGACAGGAGAAACTTGAGCATGATAGGGAAAACCCAACTAAGAAAAAAAAAAGATTGCATAACGAAGAAAGAGAAGAGATAGTTGATAATGGTAAAGATCTTGAGAAGGTGAGAGTAGAAGCTAATGAAGGCACTGATAGGAGGAATGTCTTGGAAGACAGAGAGAAGATACCCCCTCAGTTACAGTAAGAGGAAGTGTGTGATGCTGTTTGTAAATTTGTGTGTTTAGTAAAGGAAGTTGAAGAAATTCTCATCTGATGACCTCTGTTTTCTCTGTGTGGAAGGAGATGAGATCATGTGCTGAGAGAAAAGGAGGTGGTGTTGGGAGTTTTAAGGCAAATGGAGAAGATCTGGAATGTTTGTTGTAGAAAGTGACAGAGCAGGTGAACCAGAGAAAAGTAGCTGGACTGGTCAGCACTGTAGAGGGCCTGTTTAAGATTGGTGAAGATGAATTTACCAGTCTGCTCCCCTTTGTGGCTTTCTCAAGCAGTGATCACTTCTTGAGGGCAGAGGTTGAGTTCATGGAGGGTTGAGATGATCACTGGTACAAAGCAATGTTTCTCAACCAGGAACAGTTTTGCCCTCCCCTCCCCCAGGGGACATTTAGCAATGTCTGGAGACATTTTTGGTGTCATGATGACAAGGGGAAGTATTAATGGCATCTAGTGGCCAGGGATGCTGCTAAACATCTTAGAATAAACAGGATAGCCCCCACGACAAAGAATTATCTGGTCTAAAATGTCAGTAGTGCTCAGGCTGAGAAACCCTGGCATAAAGTAAAGAGAGATGCAAGGGAGTTCAGGGTATTGGCAAAAGTGTTACTGAGTTGGCAGACCATGGATTTCAAGGCAGAAGTCAGGAGAGGGCTGATGGATTGGGAGGTAAGAGAAAGGGAATCAATGAATTGGAGCTCTTGATGAGGACAAAGAAAGTCATAGTGTTGTGGTGGGCCAAAGAAGCTGGAAGACAGGTATTTGAACAGTGAGTTGCATTAATGTCTCTGGAGATGAGGCATCTACAGGTAGTAACAAGGTCCAGGGTAGTTGAGATGGAGTAGAGTAGAAGGTCATAATGAGTTTAAGGAATTTAGAGATTTAACTCCTGGGTTGGTCATTCACATGGATGTGGAAGTCATCCAGGATGATGGCAAGGCAGAGATTAAAAAAATGTGCATTTACGGCCTCCACCAGACTGAGTCCAGTACAGCTAGATGGTGCCGGGCTACCACCACGGACTCCTCTGACCAGGATCACAATAGAGGGTCCTGGACAGAGCTGGAAAAAGATGGAGAACAAAATTCTAACTCACAAAAAAAAGACCAGATTTACTGGCCTGACAGACTGGAGAAACCCCGAGAGTATGGCCCCTGGACACCCTTTTAGCTCAGTGGTGAAGTCACTCCCAAAGTTCACCGTTCAGCCGGGGATTGGACAGCCTCATAAAACAAAACAGGACTAATGAGGCACAGCAGTCCAGGGACAAGGACTAGAAGGCAGGAGGGGACAGGAAATCTGGTGACAGTGAACCCAAGTTTGAGAAGGGACAGTGTTGACATGTCGTGGGGTTGTTAACCATTGTCATCGGGCAATATGTGTACTAACTGTTCAATGAGAAACTATTTGTTCCGCAAACCTTCATCTAAGGTACAAAAAAAAAAAAAAAAAGAAAGAATTATCTATGTGAGATCAGATTGACAACAACAACTCAAAAGGTTTGATGGGAAGCCTAGGGGGCAGTGAGTTGAGGATAATGGTGATGGAATAATTTGGAGAAGGATAGTGAGAATAGCAGCACAACTGGAAGATGTAATCTGTGTCACTGAATTTTACAAGTAGAAACTTTTGAAATGGTATAACTTTGGCTATGTATATTTTCACCAAAAAAAAAAAAAAGGTCCTCCAAGGTCGAGAAGGGAGACTGTTGACATGTCCTGGGGTTGTTAACCAATGTCATAAAACAGTATGTGTACTGACTGTTTAATGAGAAACTATTTGTTCTGTAAACCTTCATCTAAAGTACAATAAATATATATATAGATATTTAAAAAATGTGCATTTCATTGAAATGAATTAGTGACAGAAAAAGTATAGCCTAAGAAGCATCCTTACATAGAGCCTCCCCCACCCGCATTTTCCTGGGAGTGGGTGGAGCATGGAAAAGATTTTCAGACAGAATGAGTTGAAAGAAATATTTAGCAAACTCTAGAGACTTGCATGGTACAGTTTACTGCTATCCTGGCTCTTACAGCTGACATACAAATTGTAGGGAATTCTGTTTCCATTTAAGTCCTAACCTGTAAGTATGGTATAGTATGTAACCTAGGCAGCAAAAAACAATCACCCTGAGGGTAGAGACAAAACCTACCCCTCTCAGTGATGAAAATTTTACTTTTTGTCTAGGGCAATGGTTCTCAACCAAAGGCTATTTTGCCCCCCAGGAGACATTTGGCAATGTCTAAAGACACTTTTGACTGTCACAAGTTAGAGGAGGGGAAGCTACTTGCATTGAGTGGCCAGGGATGTTGCTTAACATCCTACAGTGCACAGGACAGCCACTTACAACAAAGAATTACCTGGTCCAAAATGTCAGTGCCAAGATTGAGAAATTTTGACCCAGGCTTACCTTGACATTTACCAATTTGGACCTTGGTCTTCTACAGGTTTTTCCTTAGAGTATGGCCCTGAACTTATTGGGTAAAGCAGTTGTTCCATTGCATGCCTTTAAAGAAGAGTAGAGTGAGGAGTTACCCCCGTTCTTGACTGTTTCAAGGACTTGTGATGTCACAAATACAGAATTGGAAGTTTCCTAAACCTCTAGAAGCAATCTGGCTTTACACATAGGTGGAGGCATTGAAAGTCTAGTTAAATAGAGATGTTAGTATAAGTTCAACAATGTCCGTGGAGTAATACTTCGCGTCATTATCAACTTTAATGTAACTTGGTTTATCTGACTAGTTTTAGTCACTGAAGCAGCATCCTGAGTTTTAAGGTATGAGCTAAGGTCAGTAATAAAGTTCTTTTATGTGTAAATAATATAATCATTAGTATTGATGGAATCATTAGTATTGAATGTCTGTTCTGTGATAGGCACCATTCATGAATAGGCACCTGACTTATGTTATCTCATTTAATCCTAGCAAAACCCTAAGAGATAGAACATCATTATCCTAATACTAACTGGGAGAAAAACTGAGATTCCAAGAAAACTTGGAATTTGCCCAAAGTCACAAATTACTAATAGCTGGGTTAAGATTTGAACTCAGGTCTTGTCTGTTCTAAAGCCCATGCAGCTTCATTAAGCGTCAGAGTTTTTTGAAAGAAGGAGTGGTTTAGCTGCAACAGCTGCCACGCCTAAATGAGTTGAGGATTTCAGAAGAGAGTAAGAGCAAGAGGAGGTCAGAAAGAGCAAGAAGAATAAAAAAGGGAACGGGGGCGGTGGGTCACGGTGACGTCCAGTGGACTGACTTTTCCGCAAATCTGGAGAGTCCTCGGTCTTCTACCATTCTTTCGGAATAGAGCCGCTTCCCTCCCCGTGTCCATTGTTCACGCTCTTGTGTTCAAATAAAGCTAGATTATTGAGAAAGGCGAACGGCAAAGAAAAAAAAAAGAGCGCCACGGCGGTGGTGTGCGCCTGCGCGCTGGCGGCGGCTGTGCCCGGCGGGGAGCGGGTCCGGATCGGGCCGCCGGACCCAAAACTGAGGAGGGGACTGGGGGGGTTAGGGAGCTCCCTCGCCGGGGCGCCGGCGGCGCGATGGAGTAAGAGGGATCGTCTGTGAGTGTGAGTATCGAGGAGCTGGGCTGGATTGAGGCGTATCGGAGCCCGAGGGTCCTGGTGGTCTGACCCTTGGGTGGTGGGACTGCACGAGCGGCCGGGTGTCTGCTCATGCCGGTTGCAGCGCAGGGGCAACCCAGTGTTCCCCCCTTTTCAGAGCCCACGCGG